TCTCATCTGGACACACAGACATACACAGGGGTCAAAGGTCAGGCCGGTTCCCACAGCGCCGTTCCGCTGACCTACATTCACACTCGCAGTCTCTCAGTGAGCAGACCCAGTGTCTGCCGGAGCACGAGGACCAGCTGGATTCACACCAAAGATCAGGAGACTTTAATCAGCACAGGAAGAGCCGAGCGTCCAGTCACAGACCGACAGACCACACACAGGATGATGGGAAACCACTAACCTCACACACACAGACTGGGATGACATTGTCTTGATTTCCTGTTTGAATCGATTCTTATTTTGAGGAACTGATATTGATTCTTAAATCCCAAGATCAATGGCTATAATCCAATTGAAAACTTGTAATTCGGAATCAAATCAGACAAACAGACAGGCGAACATATAGACATACAGATAAGACAAACAGATGGAGAGACGGACAGGTGGACAGACAGGCAGACAAACGGACAGACAAAGACAGACAGATGGACAGATAGACAGACAGACAGATGGACACAGACAGACAGATAGACGGACAGAGAGAGACAGATGGACAGACAGACGGAGAGATAGACAGAGAGAGACAGATAGACAGACAGTCAGAGATAGACAGACAGGTGAAGGTGTCTCACCGACGCACTGGTTCCACTGGTAATGCTGCAGGTATCCCTGCGGACAGCTGCATCTGTAGCCGCCCACCAGATTCTGACAGCCGTGCTGACAGCGATGATTCCCCACACACTCGTCCATGTCTGACACACACACATACACACACACACCGTATTAGTGAGACCTTTGATGTGTGTGTGCATATGTGTGTGTGTGTGTGTGTGTGTGTGTGTGTGTATGTGTACCTTCACAGTGCTGTCCGTTGGGGTCGAGGGTGAATCCTCTCTGACACTCACAGTTGAAGCTGCCGGGGCTGTTCTGACACACTCCGTTCGGACCGCAGAGACCCGGTTCAGTGTTGCACTCATTATTATCTGTCTCACACACACACACACGCACACACAGTTCATCACTCAATGATCTATGAATGTTGATCATGATATTAGCGTCGGGACAGGAAAGGGAAGTGCTTGAGGACACAGTGCTGGGTTTGTGTTTTACAGCTGTTTACTTCAGCTAATGGATCTCATCTAAACACCAGCTGCTGTAACCACGGCAACAGAACCGGTACATCCCATAACAACTGACAGCTGGGTCACCGTGGCACCAGACGGCTGGAGCTGCAGACGTGACATCATCATCAGAGCGCCTTCCACAACATCTGCTCAGAACTAGTGCGCAGTACCAGGGTATTTGGACACGTACCACGGTATTCATTCAGGAGACACTGAAATGAACTGAACTGAATTTCCAAGGTGACAGATGAAACTGTGCTAAAATCCTTTTTTTTTTCTATTTTACTGGGGTTAATATTTTAAAAAAATGTAAACCATAAAAAAAACATTTTCGATACTTTAAATAAAATAAAGAGTTAACTGAAATAAAATAAAATAAAATATAAAACAGACTTATTGTAGCTAGTTGCAAAGGCAACATTTTATTTTCATGTAGTTAACTTGAAGTACTAAAACTGAAAATGAAATAAGAATAAAAAATATATCGGCATAAAAAAAGCTAATAAAAATCACAAAGACGACAAATTAACTAAACTTTCAACTAAATTTAAAATAAAAAATATAAAAATAAAAACTAATTAAAAATATTTATAAAAACTAATGGCAATGATACTAAAATAACACTATATTACAACAAGATGGCTTTCAAATTACAGTCTACTTAACAATATGACGGGCTTACAAACTACAAAAACAAATAAATATTTAAAAAGCGTGAAGTAAAGGAAAGGAAAAAAATTAATATAATACAAAAATATATATATACTATATTAATAAAATAAGTACAACTGAAAAAAATATAAAAGAAAAAAACGGATTTAAAAAATCTGATAAAATTATCTCAAGAGAATAAATAATAACCTAAACACAAATATCAAAGAGTATCACAACTAATTCCAACAAAAAAAATGCCAGCGTTTTTATTCCTAATTTCTGACAGGTCTTTTAGATAACATAGCAAATATGAACTACTAGTTTACACAAATGACACCATTAACACTTCAGGTATACGGGAAGTGTGCCTAATCCCTTCTAAACGTCTATTTAGTTTACTAGTCTAACTATACCTGACTATCTGCATTCAGCATTTTTTTCTCTGCTGTGTGTGTGTGTGAGACAGTGAGTGTGTGTGTGTGAGACAGTGAGTGTGTGTGTGTGAGACAGTGAGTGTGTGTGTGTGAGACAGTGAGTGTGTGTGTGTGAGACAGTGAGTGTGTGTGTGTGAGACAGTGAGTGTGTGTGTGTGTGTATTGTGTGTGTGTGTGAGAGTGTGAGTGTGTGTGTGTGTGTGTGAGACAGTGAGTGTGTGTGTGAGAGTGTGAGTGTGTGTGTGTGTCAAGGTTATTATAGTTTTGAATTTTTAAAGTAGTTTTATTTTA